GTCTCTTTTTATTCGAATAATCCTTTGATTTAGCTGCAGTTCTTTAAAGAAAAGCCATTATTTCCTAGGTTTATTTTTACATATGGTAAATTGTAGTGTATGCTTCTGATGTTCTAAGATCTGTTATGCAACCCAATAAATCAAGATAACATCCATGCATTACCTCCTCCCTCTGATTTGTATGCAGAGAGTCTACAGTTAAAGTCTTTACGGAATGAGTTATAAACCTACATGGAATTACAGTGACGCTTTCAGTCTCCACTGCCCACAACCTTCAAACCGCACACAGGAGCCGTAATGACCCAATGGGAGATTTGCAGCAGATATAAAACTCTAATGTAATTGACTGTGCGCCACGATCAGATAAGCAGGCCCATTTCAACATTTCCAACGGTAAATGTCAAACGACTGTAGCCCAGTGGAGAGTTTGGTGATAAAAAGCAGCATCGGCCCACTGTGGCTCGTCATTCATGCAACAATCCGGTCTCTTTAGTCTGACTGAAGAATGGGTATAATGTTCTCCAAAAAATAAATCCGGGACATGTTGACAGCTACTTTTCCATTCTTTTATTCACTTAGGTCTCATCAAAGATAGTTACTGTCATACTCATTTTCTGGTTTCATATTTGTATTTTGTGCTTCAACTGAAACATGCTTCCATGCTTTAATGTTCAAAAAATTATTATTGAAATTATATTATTATTATTATTATTATTTTGGTTGTTGCTATAATGCAGGGGTATTAAATTGTTTTTCAAAGAGGTCCGGTGAGAGAAAATGTTTTCGCTGTCTACCTTCCTCTTTTTTGAGCACGCCATTTGAAATTACTACGACTGTTTCTCTCTTCTTTAAAATATTTTTTAATCTATCGTGCTGACTCACTGACTCCACCGATTTGATTGGCTGAGTAGCGTTACCTCATTAAAATATGGAACAATAACTTTTTAAAACCTTTTTATCTTCATGTTTTAAACATTTTTTTTAACATTTTTAACATTTTCAACTTTGCGGATAAATCCTTATTAATCAATCAATCAACAACTTTATTAATCCCGCAAGGGGCAATTGGTTATGAGCAGCAGTTTATGTCATGTACACAGGCAGGAACATACAGGAAGAAAACACACAGATACACCCGGGAGCACAGATGTGGATCATTCCAATTTACACGATAAATAGTTCATAGCATCACAATAATAAATAAATAAATAATCAAGTTAAAAGCCTTTCAAGAATTTAAAAGTTTGAGTGCAGAAGGGATGAATGATTTCGCAAAGCGATTAGTCTTTAGAGTAGGTAGAGCATATCTACGCCCTGATGGCTACAGACAAAATGCATGTGCAAGAGAACATGACCTGGAGGCTGGAATGCTCTCTGCTTTCAGCAGAATCGGTTGCTTACAGAAGGAGTTTAAGTCTCTCTGTTTCACTCCGATGACCTTAGAGCAGGTTTTAGCAATGCTGTTCAGGCTATTCCTATCTTTCAGTGTAAGGCTATGGAACCAGCAGATAAAAGTAAAACAAATAAGGCTCTCAATGAAGATGCTATATGCTCCCGGCAACACACTGAACGTCAACTTTTCCTCCGTATTACACTCACCCCTACTTTAGTGGGAACAATGAGTCTGCGTCTTTGATGCGCACATGATGCGGGGATGCAATGTAGACAGGAATAAACGCAGATCATCCTCTGGCTGCAGCCTTGACCGGTACTTGCTTTTGATCAAAGTCAATGCGTAAAACCCGCACTCACACAGGTAGGTGGAGGTGAAGGGAATGAGCCCTTTTACAGCCTTTTTGGCGAGGTGGGGGAACTCGGTCTCCACAGACAGCCAAAAGTGTGCAAGTGACGTTTTCTGCCAGACGCTGTCTCCTCTCTCACTTTAGGTAACTTCACTAAAAATCGATCCATGTTGCAGCTCGCATAAAGTTAGCTGAAGTTAACTAGCTAGATTTCACTGTTTCTCGTTATTTTCTTCTCACGCTGCGCCTCCCCTGAAGCTCTCCCCGGGAAGGCGCACCTCACACTTTGAAAACCGCTGGCTTAGAGATGTCCCGCCCCCTACCCTAGCACGTATAATGTGTTTAAGCGTTAGCCAATAGTAGCGCAGGTGTTACGTAGCAATGTCACTATGTTACAGAAGAAAGCAGGGGAGTACAATTGAGGAGTTGCAGGCAGGGGGAGGGGGAGGGGGGGGGGGAGTGTGTGTGAGAAAAACTCTCTGGAAGAATATTTGCGTTTGCAGACCATTTACATGCAAAAAAAACTATTTAACACACTACAGGAAAGGGATAACCCCAAAAAGCATAATATGGCCCCTTTAATGTTACAATGCTGCTTTCCTATTCTTCCACTTCGGCTTGTGTGACCAAGTTTTCAGCAACCCGACACATTTCAAGCCCTAACATGAGGGAGGGAACTGCATTTATTTCACTTCAATAGTTTTCCGCTCTGTTCACAACTTGTCCATGCAGCTGTAGTGGACTGTTTGCCATAAGGATATAGTCACGATACTCATAAATCCATACAGAAGTACACTACATTACAAGCAGGCAACAAACCGCCCAAGTTAACATGACTGACGTGATGATGACAGCTCTCTGACAGTGCTTCCTTTTATGTTGTCTGTGGTGCGACTTAATGACACTGAAGGATAATGACAATTGTCTGCTAAAAGTTGCTCGTTAGCAATATGGAGACGTACATGGCAGCAGAAAAAGTTCCAGAAAAGTATGCTGCTTAACAGTCTCCACTCGAAATAATGAAAAATAGTCTGTTGTTTTCTAAAAGCGCCTGACAACCCACGCAGTTTCTTATTTGTCTCCTCAATGGAAAGTAACCCGCTGTGAGTTTTCTTTGCTGCAAAGAAGTGATTTATCTTTTCAGACTCCTTCCACTGTGAGTTTGTTATTGTCATTACTCCAGACGTTGTGGCATATTCACTGTAGAACTTGGTGAACATAATATAGACTTTTTTCTTTGACATTAAAGTTAGCAATATAAAAACTGGGTGGTTGACACAAGGAATATTAACAGCATTAGACTCAGTCTGAGTCATTTTTCAAAAAATTGTAACTAGTTTACAAAGCTCAGATTTTTTTTAGTATATACAGACAGCGTTTTCCCTCCCTTTATACTCCAAGCTCCTACTTTGTCATTGACAATACAGCATTAATGTAACCTACCAACAGTAAAGAAAAATAAATACAGAGGAAGCCGTTACTTAATGTTGTCCAAAATTGTGAAGAAACCTGCCAGTTCACATTAGACAAGCAACTTGCCACTGTTAATTCTTTCAAATTTAAAAAGTATATATCCTTTTATATATTTTTTGTTTTGTAACTTTTTGAAAAAAGATATATGATATGAGAAATACAGCACTGGATTTCAGAAGCTACCCAGGATACATCTGCCTCCTGAGACGCTTGCCAACTTAGTTAACCACAATGGCAAGCCATGAAAGAAATCCATAGGGCTTGCTCCACGCCAGAAGTGTAGTATAACTATCTACCAGTGTATATTTTCTCCCAAAGACAATTGGATCAGCAGGCTTTGTGGATTTTCAATCAAAAAGTTGAAAAACTGTCAGCTATGAGGCATCATCTCCCTCGGCCCCTTTGGCCCTGTTTCCTCTATGCTCTAGCCATGCCTGACAAGCCATTAAAAGGCCTGTCTGCCTGTGGCAATGGATGGGCTTTACTCCAGAGGGCACAGAGAGTCAGATAAAGCCTGAATCATGAGAGGACAGGGTGGAGAAGACGGCACTCCTCATTTCCAAACTATGCTGAGCAATGAAATGGAATTGCTCCTCAATAAACCATATTCTCTCTTTTGTTTCTATCTCTATCAGTTACCGCCCCCTTTCTTGCTGACCCCTCTGCCTCCTTGCCGCACAACCTATCCTTAAGTGCTGTTCTGTGCTTGGGGGCGTGCCAGATACCAGCTCTCTCATTGGCTGGTTTAGGACTCTTTGGTCACATTGTGTCCTGTTGAATTTATCATGACGGCTAGAGAGCTGTGGATGTCATATTGACAAGACAGCAAACAGTAAATACTTCTGACAGGAGCTGTTGGAGAAAAAGGCAACCTAGGCCGAATGCTTCAAAAGCAACAAGGAAATATGAAATGGCGATCAATCTTTGTTATTTCAGCTATTACTTTAAAAAATGCTTTTATTTTCTTCTCTTTCTTTCCCTGTGTGCAAAATGAATAAAAGCAACCTAAAACACTCGTAAGCAACAGGAGAAAAACCCTAGGGACACAAATTGATTTGACTGAATGCTAATGTGGCAAACAGCTTACTTTTCATCATTATGTTTTGAAGACATCAAATGAATCATAAAAAATGATTAACACTGATGACTCTATGGGCAATTAGCTACTCATTTTCAAATTGAGTCTAGTGTTATTCATTTGTCATTTATTAAACTGATCTCTGTTTAGGTGTCTAGAATGTATGTTTCCTATAAGAAAAAAGTGCAGCCATAAACTTAAATTACAAACAAAGGACCTACAATCTGCAACAGATCAGCAACAAACTCTTCATAACCATAATAATCCATTACGTTCCATTCAGATGACTCATCTATACAAGATATGTTGGGTTTTGCTATAAAACAGCAGTAGTATGCATCGCTTTTGCCCAGAGCCACATAAATATGTTTTCTTTGTGTTTCCTTGTATTTGATTGAAAACACAATAATGTGACCTGAAAGGACCCAGCTGTGCACAACCTTGGAGATGTTTATGAAAAGCAAACAAAATGCACACATAGTACACAACACACACACACACACACACACACACACACACACACACACACACACACACACACACACACACACACACACACACACACACACACACACACACACACACACACACACACACACACACACAACACACACATATATAAATTGACTTTCCCATGCTGTTGGCCAGACCTTTACAGGTGCAGGAAATCAGATACATGTGAAAAGCACTGAGAACAAACTGTTTACCTTGTACAGGAGCATGACGACCTGTCGCAGTTTGAGCTTGTGGAACACGCAGACGTCGTAAAGCGCCGACACGGCCAGGACGGTCACTCCGAGCTCCTTCCACAGCATGCTGCACGCAGCGCAGACCAGACTGCCCAGGAACCACGCCACGAGCCGCACTGGCCCAGCGTGGCCCCGCAGCTGGCAGTGGCGCATGTAGCAGAGCAGGGACAGCAAGAAGAAGAGGGTGGCCCCTTCATCCGCGCGGCCCACGACCCCCGCCACCGCCTCGGTGTGGATGGGATGCGAGGCGAAGAGCAGGCCGGCAAGCAGGCTCCAAAGGCCGCCTCCGAGCAGCAGGCGAGCCAGGGAGGTGAACAGGCCCGTCACAGCCCCGTGGAGGGCCACGTTCACCAGGTGGTAGCCCCAGGGCTCCAGCCCACCCACCGCATGGTTGAGTCGGAAGGAGAGGGTGCAGAGGGGCCGGTAAGACTTATGGCTGCCACTGTGGGTGAGTAAGGTGCCCCAGAAGTCATCGTAGAAGATATTTGTCCAGGGGGTCTCTGGTAGCAGGTCCTGATTGGTCTTGATTGCACGGCTGTAGAGAGAATAACAAACATGAGTAAAGGACTTACGGGTAGGAAAAAAAAACATTGTAGATGAAAAGATCAAATCAATATTTGATTCTGTACACAGAAAGGTTTGTCAATTTAATTAATGTCAAACTGCTTCACTGATTGACCACTCGCCTAATGAATGAAAGTGCTGTTTGAACCAGCCTGGTCTCCTTAACAATGAGGATCCTATACATTGAGATTACATATCACAAGCACACTTATATACAAAGAAGACTGGTGTTCATGTTCTGTGTGACAACCAAAACTCATCATTCGCTCATTTGAAATTATGTTCATAAATAAATATTTAAAGAAACTTACATTTTTTGCCTAAACATGACCAAGTGTTTTTTTTTTTTCACTTATGTTTTCTTAAGTAGACTTTTGTTTACCTAATAGATCAATATGTGATACTGTGCTGAAGGCAGGCATTTGTATCAACTAGATTATTGTCAAACTGCTTCACTGCTAAGTCTGATCATAGTGTGGGCTTAGCAGGAAATATAAGTTGCTGTAAACTGAAACTTCACATTTGCTTACAGCTTTTCCCTGAGATTGTGGTCATGTGGGACTCACCAACAGAACATTTAGAAGGCAAGCCTTTAGCCCTGGGCAGCTTTGCCACCACAGCCAAAGCTCTTACAGCTGTGGACCTCTGGAATTAAGCTAGAGCGCCACACCCTTAACCCCAAACAAATACCGGCACGCAGTAGGGGAACGCCATGTTGGCAAAATGCAGCTTGGAGAGAAGGGTTACAAGCGATATGGCAGCTCGGAGCTTGTCTGGGGAAAAAGCAGCAGTTGTGCAAAACGGAGGGATAGGTCAATTTTGAGAGACATTTTCTAGACAACCACTGAGTAACTTTGACCTCCCCTCTGTCAGGGATGAACCGGCATGACCTAACCCATTGCTGCTACATCAACCACAAGCTGTGCGTGTTGATGGCTGAGGGGTGGTTTTCAAGGAAGGCATGCTTCTCCCAACAGTAGTGATTAAATAAAAGTTAAAGGTTTTTCCTATCTTTTCTGCCACGTTCTGAGGTGTCTGACAGAGTGTCAGGCCTGCTGCTTTTAACTACAGCTGGTGGTGCTGATGAGGATTGAGGCAACAGGCAACATAATGAGGCTCCGCAGAGACAAGGTGCTTGGCAATGGGGGAACAGAGGTGTGATTAAAGGCGTGATAGATGGGACATGACACGTGATAACAAGCCAAGTGCAGCAGGTAGATGTGTCCTCACTGCAGTCACAATTAACACACTCATCAGTTCAACAGGAGATAAAAGGTGGGAGGGACAACAACACCTGAAGGAGTAATCATTTTAATCTGTGTGTATAAAATGAACATAAATGGGAAGAAAAATGAATGAACCAAAAAAAGCAGTTGACTCAAGAGTGAGAGATGATCTTAAACATTCCTAAAAACTATGATAAAAATACTTGATATTAATATTATATTATATTTTCACTAAGTTACATTTTGAAACATCAGTGCTTATCACAACCATCAGATTTGAGCTCATCTTCAGAATGTTAACCTAAAATATACAAATGTAATGTATTTAGGAGCAAATGTTCAGCAATAAAACAAATGCTTTTTGGTGCAGAAAAGCAAAAAATAAATCTGGTGGAAAATATTAAAATCTACAATTTTGAAGCCAGGACTCATTTCAAAACCTGATATAAAAGAATGATTGGCCTTGCATTTATACCCCTTAAGGGTCTGAGTGTCTGTATTTTGGCTACACGGTTAACTATAGACTTATTAACCTAGCCGAGGATGAACTTTAAACACAACACAATTTAAGAAAATAAATTTCTACATTTCTGCCATCTACATCATCAAAGCCAAAATGGCATTGGGAAGGCACAAGGTTTAAACATAACACAGGAGCCTCTTACCACCAGAAAAAGTTGGAAAGGTGTTCAAAAGTAGCCCTTCTTATGATGAGTCTAAGGGAAATAAATACTACTTGGCTTTGGGATGTTGGGGAAAATAATCTGCTGGGATATAATAGAAATGCCTTGGATGTCAGAGCACAGAAGATTGGGTTTCACCAGCTTCTCGGACAGAGGCTCCATCTCTCCACCAGCCGGCTTAAGAGTCAGTAGCCCAACTCTCCACTTCATGACTCAGAGATGCCAGTTTATTTTCTCTGGCCCATTTGTCAAGTAAGATCTTCATTCCGCCGCGAGATGCTCACATAAGAGGCATTATGGTTCAATTACATCTTTAAGCCGTTTTGGAGACAAGTGTGCTCATTTTCCACTGCACAGTGAGGCCAGATACATTATATATTTCCTCAAAACCACACAAGACTCTTTTCTGGCAGCAGAATACAGACTAAAGCCAGTGCCACTCACTCAAGCCCAATGCTTTTACTGCCTTGGCTTCCTGAGTCACAGTGCATGGGGTTCACCTCTCAGTTGGTGTCTTGCTAACATGTCAGAGGCAGGGGGGTCCCTAAAGTGCTTGACAAGTGGAGAATCGAGGAAGGCAGAGAAAGATGGTAAAGTGTTACCTCTTTACTGTATATCACTCTGCAAGAACTACTCAGAGCAGATGATGGGAAAACCCACAGCTGCGTTAACACATTCACAGTCGTAATGCAACTATGGCTGGTAAATATAACAATTATAACAATATTGAGATATGAGATCATCCTAAATGTTGGATATTGCAAGATTTATTTGTGCATGGTTTTAAGGCTACTTTAGGAGCAATGAAAGTTCATTTTCAGAATTTACCAGAATTGTCTTGCCTCAGTATATCGACATTACTGACGATTATGCATCAACGCAATCATAAACCAAACAATATTGGCCCAAATACTGATATTGATGTGTTTGGGTAAGAATATTGGGATACTTTATTCATATCGCCTAGCCCTAAATTCAATTTGAATAATCCAATCTATGGAAAATCCCAAACCCACAGGTCTGGGTCATTGTCATCAGACCTTGCTCCTCTACCAGCTAAGAGGCCAGCTGGGGAGGAATATTGAGTTTCTGCGGCTGGCTGGGCCCATTTCTCAGCAGAGCTCGAGACACGAAGGACCCCTCTGTGCACTGCAAACCTTTTCCAGCCGGGAGCACATTCCTCCCCCGACCGCTCGCCTGAACGCCTGACTCCCAAGAGGATCGTGTGGCTGCTAACAAGAGGAGCCTCTGAAAAGTTTTCTGGATCCCCATTACTCAGGCCAGATCATCTACATCTTCCTGCCAGCAACAGTTCCTTCACAACAAGACCAGTTCTCAATCTGTCACAATGCGGACTAGAACTGGACCCTTTAGACTCTAAAGGGTTTAGAATGATATAAGTAAATGCTTGTTTGAATATGTAAACAGAGTATGGAAAATGCAAGAGGGGTGGTGCTTTTATGTGCCAAATCATTCTAATGTACACAATAGCACTAATTGGAATAACTGTGGTGAACATAGGGAACCTAGAGCGTTAAATTACATTGGAAAAAAACATAGATGTGTGAACAGAGAAAACAAAGGCAACAAAGTGTCTGTTGTTCACATCTAAGGCCTGACTAACTCTTCTCACAGCTTCACAAAAACATCACATTCGCTTTAACACCACTTTAAAAAGCAAAGAGAGGACACCGAAAATTAGCTTTTTCTCCTATGCTGCCGTGACGGTCCTCTGTCACTCAAAAAGCTTTCAAGTATGAAGGTTATTCTCTGCCTCCCCCCCAAAAAGCCTTGCTTTTAGTACTGTGCTATTTGAATACAAATGTACACAAACGAAAATCTAATGAAAGGCAATTGCTTACACAAAAGCTGAAGAACATTTAATTATAGACCCAAAGTAAAACAATTTTGTTCTTGGGCGTACCCCCAACCCTTTTGCTGAGCTCAAAAACATTTCCATGAAAAATGCTCCTGCTATCTCCTTATTTGAGAAACAATCATGTGAGAGCTAACCTCTTTACTCCTGGAACAGTTTCACTTATAATGTAAATGCACCAGCAGGGTGGAGAAAAATGCAATGACTACAGGATCCATGGGAAGAGGCTATCTGAAATTGAAGATTGATTGGCATTTCGGCACAGATATGCAGTGGGCAAACACGCAGGAGATGAGAATGGATATTGGATAGAAGATTGGAAACCTAGAACATGTCATCACGATTTTCCCTTTATAACTTCTCAATGAATTTAAGATGAAGCTCTGAGTGAAATGGAGCCGTATGACTGGGATAACATCTATTTTTAAATCCTCCAAAGCCTGATGGAAAAGAATATACCAATCTCTAAAATATTCCATTGAAGGAGTGCATATTCTGGCGCACCTATCCGCAAATCGCAAGAGAGACAGAATCTGTTTCGTTTTGAAGGAATATGCGCTTTTATGGCAAAAATATTGAAAGCCCACTGAAGGACATTCAACAAGTAATGGGTAAGAATACAGACTGGAAACACTGAAGTGAAAATCCATTTGTGAAGAAGCATATGCAAAGAAAATCAACTCTTGTGGGAGTTTGGGGAAAGTGATCGAAGGTCTGCCAACTATATGTCATCACCCGGCTTCAATATCTGAAAGAGGCACAGTGGTATATTTAGACTGCCCACAGAGACACCGGGGTAGCCCGCTCAGTGTTTCCGGCAAGCTCTTTTGTCTAATGTTTCTTCCCATGGGCCTGCTAGCAGGTCATTAATGGCATACCTCCACTTCACTCATCTTACCTAATATAGGAACAAAATAAGTATTCTGTGGCCAAAAAAACATATTAATGCTTTATTCAAATGTTCTAGAAGTAATGAAATAAATCTTTACAATTTATTTTAATAGGCAATTTAACAAAAACATTAACACTTTCAAATCTTTCATGAATTGAAAGAAAAATAATGTCTTATGTTGTGCCTTAAGGCTGCTGTGGTTAATGTATTCACTGGCATTGGTAAAGCAATCCAACTCTCATTTCAATACATACATTATTAATGCAGTGAGTGATAGAGAAGAAATGCACAAAT